TTAAATGGCACATTTTCCATCATTGGTCTTTGTGCCATAGCCTCTCACCTTCTCAACCAAATTTTTCCCCACCTCTATGTTTTTTAGCTGCATCATAGTGGCTCATAGATTGGGTCAGAGTTTTTTTGTCAAGTACAAACATTTAGCTCATAGCTCTGTTATCTCTTGACCAATTTGAGTCTTGAGAGATTATCTCTTGTCTTTCTCCAACTCTACAATGGATTTTTTCTTTCTTTGCATTCTTATTTCATGATTGGGCGTTATCTCCTTATTCAACTCTAGACTACAGAGCTGCCCTTTCTGCCACTTTTTACATGCTGTCTCTCTTTCACATCCCAAACTTTTACTCATCTTTTTCAAGCTTTTCACTTATTTTATCTATGGCTCCTTAGACATTGTCATCAAACCTTTCTTATGGTGTTACACTTTTCTTCTCTCTGAACCTTTAGCAAGTTCTTTAACATTTTTCACTGAAGTCATATTTTTCTGTGTTGCTAACTTCAAATAAGAGAAGATCTGATATTTCTTGAAAGGCTCTATACCTTACTGCCAAAGAGTTGGGCTGTGAGAGAACTTAACCACTGTTGTTTACCAGCTGTGTTACTTATCATGACTTATTCAGATTTTCATTCTGTCCTGTCTGGGCTATTCATTGCTATGTGGCATGAATAGAATTTAACTCTGTGGATCTTGCTCTATTTATGCTAATGAATTGGTTTGTTCAGCTGATTTGTCTTGTCTTTCATGATGTACCCAAAGACCTTCAAAGTGAACTTATGATTACATTTCTTGAAATTTGCAATTTCACAAGTTCTTTGACTTACTGGTTTTAGCACCTTTCTAGAATTACACCTTACAGGCTACCATGTAGAGGAATTCAAAATTTCTTAAATTCTGTTGACATCACTCTGCTGTCTATTCAGTTGTGGGATTTGGTTTGCCTCTTGTGTTTGGTCATTCTTTAACAGATGTGTTGTTCTTTATTAATAGATTATTTACTGTTTAGGTCTCCACCTATGATGTGTAAGGTAGTCAAGATTTTTCTATACCACCCATCATTCCTATT